TATGAGTGCTGGTAGCGATGGTTTGGGCGTAAATAACATATTGTTGCATTAAGATATAATCAAGAACTCTGGTAACGTCAATCGCTGAATCGAGGAATCCGTTATGAATTATCAAAAAAGTACGTATTAAGCTCCTTCAAATTCATAATATGATGTATAATGAAAGTCTACGTGACGTTAGATGCCACTTTTCCGCATTCGAATCCAATACCGTTAAGTTTTTCTTTTAATTAATTGAGTATTGTCTCAAGGGCATTTCTCTCAGATGACCCTCTTTTCCTCTAATGTGTCATAACCTGGTGCGGCTTAACACATAATTTGTATTTAATACCAGACATACAGGTGGTTCCACACGTAGAGTAGGATCTGCTTACTCTTCAAGAGCAACTATGATCAATCCTGTTTTCGTTTTGATCAGATTTTAGGTTTCTATGTTGTGTTTTGTGCATTGATAGACTGTTGTTTGTCTTTTCGTTTTTTTTGCTATGATTTTATGAGTCTCTCTTTGACTAAGGAATTTTGATGATTTCTTCGGCATTTTCCCGCCTCTTTTTGATTATTCTGTAAACATCTTTAAGAGAATAAACTACCATTCCTGTGCATATAATGATTTTTGAAGTTGGAGCAAAGCACGCCTATCACTTTAAGAATTATCAATAACTATTAAATATCATGATAAGAAAACGTTTGAGCTATCAATTTCTGTTCGCAGAAGACGTGTTTTACCTCTTCCGACGACAAAGAGTTCAAACAGTGCTAACTAATAAAAGCACATCCTCCGTGACTGTGAAAGTTATTACCACTGTTTAACTCATTGTTATGACTTACCATGATCAATGACAGCTTTTATTACAGATTTTTCATAGAAAAACATTGACCAACAATAATTTTGTCTCTGTCTGCATGGTATATATGTGAAGGACAGAGCGAAATACAACTGTCTTTGGTTTTGTGTAATTCATTAACTCATTGCACATATTGTTCACGTATAGATATATTTTAAATAGGTTATGTTAATCATGTCAAAAGTGGTGATCATAATACTGACCATTTAATTGTGTGGTATTCAAATATGTTTTTTTACAATCTGAAAAAGTTGAGAGTTTTATGTAAGATAACGAAAAACACTTATGTTAGTTAACCAACAAACTATTTTGAATATTTTTGTAACATTTTCAACAGCCATGAAAATCCCAAATTACAAATGTGATAAACATACCTTTTAGTGTGGCTTACCAAATAATTAAATGTGTTTTCTCCTTGTCAACCATTTCTGACGTTTCATGTCTGAACTTTCATATACCTGTTTCACAAGATTCGACCCTTTTGGAATTCCCTTAGTTTCTGTTTGATATCTTGATTTGTCTCTTCCAAATCGATTTACGAGATTTGACCCAAATTTATCACTAAAAGGACGATTTACTATGTATAATTGTAAAATTGTAATAAGTTTTTTAAGTTTTTACTTAAAATGTAGTCTTTATACTTATTCTAATTAAGGCTGGAGCTCTGGTAGTGATGGTTTAAGCGTAAATAACACATTGTTGCATTAAAATAAATCAAGAACTAATGTAAAGTCAGTCGTTTAAAATATTTCTCCTTATTTTGTCATACTTATATAATCAATATAATATGTTCATATGAAAATGTTAATTTTCTGGGGAAGAAACAGTAAAAAAGTGCATACTAAATGAAAAGTTATCTTTCGACAATTAACCAATTTTTATAGTTAAGTGTTATTGTGTATCGTTAATGAATCCGTTAAGATTATTAAAAGAGTATGTATTCAGCTCCTGCTGATACTCTTATGATTTACAATGAAGGTGTACGTGAGCTTAAAAGTAAATTTTCCGCATTTTGAATTAAATACCGTTAAGTTTTTTTTCTTCATTTTATGGGAGTTTTTCCAAGGCATCTCTCTCAGATGACTACGGATATGTTACAATAGGCGTTAGCAATCTTCTGTCCTCTTTTCCTCTATCGTGACATAAGCGGGTGTGTTGCTCATTTTTTAGTTTTCTTTGTTGTGTTTTGTAGCTGATGAATATAACACTATGAATTTCGTGTGTCGAAAGACTTTTGTTAGTCTGTTCGTTTTTTTGCCATGATTTTATAGGTATATCTTTGACTAATGAGCTTTTTTCATTGTTATTTTCCTCCACATTTTTTTTTAGTTTGTAAACAGCTTTAAAATGATAAACAGGTACATTCCTGTGCATATAATGGTTTTTAAAATTGGTCAATATAATGCTGTTTACATCATATAGTATCACGTTGTGAACTAAAGATTTCTACATTGTATTTACATTCTTAAATGACGTTTATATAGCAATAAGGAAATACTTAACTTAAGCTACAGGTGGTTTGTATGAACGTGAAGTCTTTTACAGGACACTGTCTGCGGCAAGTCAATCAAAATAGACTAAAAACAAAACGCAAACATTGGCACCTTTTTTTTCTTTATTTTTCGATAGACCTTGTTCATCGATCTTTTTTCGTTACCGATTTGAACAACCTGGTGGGTTTAATATTCGTTACACATACAAGTTATGTAAACGTGTCTGAATACCTTTGAGTTTAAAACATAGATCATTCCATATTCTATTGAAAAAATTGAAAAGTTTATAAAACTGATCTCACACGAGATGTAATTTCTATCTAGTTAGAAGAGGGTAAGGACGTAGAATGTCTTTGAATGATTATAAACGGAAAGTAGGAGTAAGAGTTTCTACTTGAATAACTACTTGCACAAAATCGACAACACAGACGAATTGCCATATTCAATGTATTGCAATCATAATCTATATGACAGGAAATTAAATGTATACATGAATAAGAAAGCAGACATACATCTAAAAGGCATTGAACTTATGGTCAACAAAAGACCGGGAATGAAGGTTGAATAGGTAGCACATATTGGATTACTAGTATTTTAGGTATTTGAAGGTGAGTTTCGTTTAAAGATATGTTCGGCTATTATATATATATCAAGTAGGTTTTGATGACGCAGTGTATTTTTGGTAAATTAGATTTTTAGATGACTCTCGTGTTTTTGTTGTTGTTAATTTTTGCATTGGTAAGTTTTGAAAATTAAGATGTTTATGTCCCTGTAGTTATCCTAATGTGGTTTAAGGGACTGACAGGATTTAACTCACATTAGTTTTTTTTTGAGGGATTTATTGACAAAAACATTTTAATGTATCTAAGGTATCTAAACGTTGTTTCGGTAAACCATTAAACTTTTTTGATTTCCGTGTGTAATATTTTTATGTGGGTTGTGGTTGCTGGAAATCGTATATATATCACGGGGTTTAGACAACACTAAACAATCATTTGATTACCTAAACTATCTTTAGTTTAGTTTTGCTTTATCTCAGGTAATTAAAGTTTCTTTGTGTATTTTTAGGTGAATTTTGTGATTTAGGATGTTTTAAACTGCCGTGTGTTGCTTCACATTCATGAGTAGAAAATTTTAATTGGGAACAATATTGATTTTATGACATGACTGAATTTCCGCAAGTAAAATATTTATGTCAAATATTCGGTCTTTTATATTTGATAGATGTAGTAATTATTTACTTCCAGTTTACACTGTAATAATTACATGCTAATGTTTTCCGTCAGATTACGTTTTTATGGTTGCTTGCACTCCCTCACGGAAGTAAATTGATGCCAGTTTCAAAGTAAACACATACGTAAAACGGCACACTTTCCTGGTTATGTCATCTGTTGTATTACTTAGTATGTAAAAATCTTTAACCTTTATTCCGACCAGTCTTTTCTTTCGTTTCATTACTCCAATCCGCATTACGTGTATTGTTTTAATGAATAAAAACTAAATAACAAACGTTCACTTAAAAGGTTTAATCATTAAATTAAATATTACTTAACTTTTATGATAAACACAGGAAATTTGTTAAATATTGTGAGCGTTAAAGGTAAGAACTGTAAACGCTTGTATTTGTCCACATTAATATTGCTAAAGGCTTAACTGATTTAAAATAATTGGATAAAAAACAACTATTTTTATCAATTTTGAATTTTCTGCGTTTTACCTCTTATCTGTCCGAAAATCTGAAACGTGTATAAAGTATTGTGCCCATCAAAGACAGCTTTTTATAGAAACAAACACAGTAATAGATAATAAAAGATCGTTGGATAGAATCATTTGTGAGCAAGTATTTCAGAAATCAAAATTAAAATTTGATTTTTTAATTTTTTAAAAAGAAGGAATGTCCAATAGACACAGTAATACTGCTTTAAAGACGTTTTAAAATTTGATTAAAATCACAACTGATGCCAAGTCTCATCACCGATTTTTAAGATTCGATTTACAATTTATATACATTATTTGAGAGTAACCTAAAAATCTTTATCAGTTACCTTTGCTTGATTTATTTGTAGGACGTCTTTGTCCATCATCTTTTAGATGTTCATAATCTACTGTAGCTTTTCCTTTGAATTTTGTTTTATTCAATTGATCGTTTAACACATGCTTCTTTCTTTCTTACAAATTTCAGAAATATTCAAAATATATCTACACATTTTCTTAACACACCAACCTTTGGTTTATCTGAATTATGTAAAAAGAAAGTTATAGCCCTGCTAAAAACAGTTAAAATTATCATTGCAAAACATTCCTGATTTCATAATTGAACTCATTTCTCAATTGTCTTATCTCACCACAAAAATACTCATTTCTCATTTGCTTTATCTTCCCACAGAAACAAACAAATGATTGATAAAAATAAACAATTATTACTTTTTTACCCAAATGATTTAATTATTCAAATTGTAGAAATGTGCACCTTTTCCACAAAAAGCCACTATTGTTTTATGGCTAACGATAAATTAATTTTTTCTTTTACTTTAACCACATAATTTTATAATACAACAATAAATTGATATGTATCGCACAATATTTATATTGTATTCATCACGCAGTTTTGACGGATTGCCTTGTTGTCGTTGATTCATTGTTTTGCTATTTCTTCTTATAGGTTTATGGAAAGTATATCTTAGATTTGCCAAAAGTATATAGAAAATTGTGGATCAAACAATATGGCGGGATGTCATATAATCCGAATAGTAAGTTTTTCATACATTTATCTTTACTGCAGTCAGGTGAAGGTGAAGGTGATATGCTTCTAAGGTCAACAAAAATGTGCTGTTAACCGTTATGAAAATACATGAAATAGGCAGACCTACTTCATTTGAACTTTGGTGCATAGTTGTCTCATTGGCAATCATACCACATCTCCCTTATTTTTATATAGATAATGATTATGACCAGAAGTGGGAAGTTTAGCAAGCTATAAAACCAGGTGTAACCTTTCATTTTCTTTGGGAAATGCCCGTACAAAGTTAGGACTAGGACAGTATGATAGTTGATTTGATTTCGTTCCGTTGGTTGATAAAGTCTAACGTTTGATTTTATAGACTTCCCCTTTTTGAATTTACATTTGAATTCAGTATTTTTGTGTAAATGTTTTTTTAAAAATATATCGAATTTCATGTAAATGCAGATATTACTACGATTACGTATCTATATGTATCTCATTAAAGATACCGAGCTATATGTATATTTGTACATCTGTGAAGGTTAACTGAAAGGTCAAGTTTGTTTTGAGGTTGTTAATTAACATGCAGTTGTTCGATGCACTTTGACAACAACACGGAAACACAGACGACATTAAAAGACAAATAAATCTCTCAGGAATTTACTCGTATATTTAAAAAAAAAAAAAAAATACTAGCGTGTGATTCAGGACGTTCCTGTCGTTACAACATGCCACATGAATGACGCTAAAATGAAATTTTCGTCAACGAATAGATCTAAGGAACATGGTATTTTTGCGCTTCCTTTGTTTTACTATCCGATCCACCTAAAAAAATTTGTATAGAACTAGCTTAATTTGTTGTCTGCTCTATGGTCGGGTTGTTGTCTCTTTAAAAAATTCACCATTTCCATTCTCAATTTTAATAAAGGCGACAGTAGTATACCGATGTTCAAATCGCTTAAATCGATTTGAAAGAGACAAATCAAGGTAACAGACAAAACCCGATGGAATCGCACGCACTTGAAATGGAGCGTCGATAGAGTAAGCGTCTCCTGGTATGCAAGCATCGTCCGTCATTCGAATTCAAACTCAGTCAAAATGTCACAATGGGTATAAGGACATCACAGTAACAGATCAGACGACTATACTGTATCTAAAATGATCATAAGGTGTCCTTATTATGTACAATTACATGAACTAAATAATCTCATCAACGTTATTTATTTATTATTTAGTATAGGTCTCATTCATATTCATAGAAGTGGCCGAGTTTTCATAAAAATAAGATGTTGTGGTGCGATTGACTACTTTTAAAAATGTTAGGCTTTAGCGGATATTGAGCATATACACTAAGTAAAATAAAAGCATATACAAAGCTTGTTACAAATCTTGATTTACTATTCAATCATATTTGGGATTAATCATGCGCACGATTTATTTCAGAACAAAATTGTTCGAATTTTGGGCCAGTAATTTTGGGGATAGCTTTTCATCCCAATATTTTACTGCGTAAAAATCTTTTGCGCTTCAATATATAGATGACGCCGTATTTCATTTTTTGTATGTGTGTGTGTGTGGTTGAAGGTGCAGGTTTTTTTCTCTCGTTTCAAACAATTTTATCGACTTTATTTAAATACAAATTATTTTTCATGAACCATATTATACGAGCAAAATTTTGTTTTTGAAACTTGATGTCTTATTTGCCCCTCACACACCCCAATTTTGAGCGGAAAAACAGTAATAGTTCATTTTTCTTTTGGAACTGATTATTTTTGTCAAGAAATTTAGAATCAAACAATTTATTTTAAAAGACCCACGTCCCAAAACAAAAGATGAACAGTCGGAGCCTAAATGATTGTCAAGAAGTATATCATGAAATACAATTAAAGAAGTTAGGTAATATATCTAAGCGCAACAAATAAAAAGTAAAACGACCAAGTCTTCCTACAAGCCAAACACTAAAATATTAATAGAAAAGTTTTGGTTAAGTACCTTGATCTCTTAGGGCTATGTCAAGGGTAGCGTTGTGAACAGAGAATGATATAAAACTTAAAGTACAGACTTTACGAGGCAAAATAACAAACTGATAATGATTGCTCGCACCTACCTGAAAAATGTTGAAAGTAGTAATAATTCCAGGCGAAATAACAATCCTGAAAAACATCTTTTGATTTGATATATAGTTTTTCCATTCATGCAGAGACACCTGATATTGATTGGAGGTATATACATAGACTTGCGTTTCGTCTACAAAACGAACGACGCTCGGATAAAAAAAAAATCAAAAGCCCAAGTAAAATACGAAGATGAAGAGCATTAGGGACCCAAAATTCCAAACGATTTTGCAAAATACATAACATGGAAACACTGTGGTCGATATAAGACTGTATACATTACTTTTTTTCTTATCAACAAGTTAAATTTTGTTTCCAGTATCTTCGAAGTTAGTGATAGAATATAAGCTAGTAATATTAAATTGTAGCTGTATTTTATCGTCTGTAGTATGGATAATTATATTTTTCGGTTGAGTTCTTTCTGAAATATCTTTCTCATTCGTAAATCTTTCACTCACGGAGATAAGAAGGAAAGGTATACTAATTTCTGTCCCTCAACAATACTAATATTTAACACTTTTGTTTCTTATTTACCTTAATATGACATGTGAAATACAAGTTTTATTGTACAAAAAAGGGCCGTATCAAGTATATATTTCATATACGCACAGAAGTACTGACAACTAGGCCGGTGATTAAACTATATTTGACCATTTTACCTAATTGAGGCAGAAGTTAAGCATTTAATGTTTTGCAACTGAAAGTTTTGAAAAAAGAAATTGAAAAAAGCTATTAAAAATATATTTTGTTGTCGTTAATTTGAAGCTATCTTTGCACTAGGGCAATACCGTATGATATTTTACGCTAAATATTTGTTACGTTTTGTGGGAAATATCATATAACTAAACAATACATGGAACTCTTTTTGATGAGTGTGTATTATTATATCTGGTTAAATTGCATCTCCAAAATAATATGATCAAAATTAGTAATCACCGTAGGTAGTCTTGAAATGCTTAAGTATTTTCTTACAAAGATAAAAAGTTGTTAAATTTGTTTAGTTTCTTTCAAAGATAAAAAGTTTATATATTTTTTTTAGTTTCTTACTAAGATAAAAAGTTGTTATATTTGTTTAGTTTTTTTACAAAGAAATATCTATGTTAAAAAAGTACTTGTAAAGTTCTGCATAGACGTTGTGTCATTTCTACTTTACCTCAAAATAAAGAAGACAAATGATGTCAAATATAAACTTTTAAAAAGTTATGAAATATTATGTTTTGTTATTTTTAGAGATGAAATCATGTACAATTCATGAAAATACAAGAATAATAAATTAGATCATGATATGTTTTTTTATACATTATAAAGACAAAAAAGAAGAGTAAACACAGATGCACAATAACAATGTAGGAACATAGACAAATGCAATAAACTTTATGTATTCAGATATTAACATATAGAAAAGTAAATGGTTGAAACATAATACCTTCTTGGAAATTACATAGAATTTTTTTTTGTCTACTTACAAAACGTGCATGTAATAATCATGTGGTTACATTTATCATATAGTAACATATACATATTTATGCCACAAAAGTCATTGATCGCGATTTGATATGTCATATATATGTAAGTACAGAACTAAAGTGTTAAATATTACAAAAATGAAAGAAAAAAAATCGTTCTTGTTTGTTTATCCTCTGTTATCCCACACACGTAATTTAGCAATAAAATTATAAACATCTGATAAACAGAACACGACTCACTTTTGTTCATAGTTTTACAATGCTGGGATTTTTTGTACGTAATACTACTTGGCAGACGATAAGATGATTTTTTTCTTATTCAACAAATAGTGTTTTCTTGTAACAACATTAGTATATAAATAACACATAGCTGAGAGGGTGATAGAGCAGATTGTTCCCCGAGAAAACATTTTCAGCTGAGGCTTTGCCAAGGTTGACATTGTCTTTTCGAGGGGTAACAATCTGCTCTATCACCCTCTCAGATATGTGTTATTAAATTCATTATACTGAATGTTCTGTTATTAATGTCTATTAAAGTTCAAATTCAAAGTAATAAACTATGACGTCTTGTACATAACAACCATCCGTATTTAATAAAGCGCACACTTGATCAAGCGTCTCTGTGAAGAATAATAGAGTATTAACCATAGGATAGAGTAAATTGTCTCCCTCGTATCAACCGATCAAAATCTGGCATTTTGACATGACGCATAATAATAGCAAATGTCCAACATATATACAATCGAACTACCACTCTCTGTATTTATGGGTTTGAACAACCCCCTGCTTTCACAATTACAACAAAACCATTAGAACATTCTTTCGGGTCCCCAGTTTCGTAACTAAGCATTCTTTATTTGCAAGAATTGCCTTTCTTTTAAGAAAATTTATAATATTCATATATCTACAATAAGAAATTTGTTTATGATTGAATGCATAATTTGGACCATGAACCATGAATAACAACTTAGTCACTAATTATTGAATATTGTTTTTTTTTGTAATGGTCAGCTTGTGTTCAACTGACGAGTTTGAATGTCCCTTTGGTACCTTTCGCATCTTTTTTGTAATACACATGTATAACTAAAAATCAAAAGTGTAAAAAAAGACAAAAAAACAACAAGGTACATAATACTAAAAAAAGATAGACTTTTTAAGGTCTGCTGAAAATAACCAAACAAATATCAAACGCGCTATAAAACTGAAAACACCAAGGGGCAATAGAAAACAACAGTTCATGAAAAAACAGACCCAAAAGAAAACGGAGAAACGGCAACCAACAGTTTGTAACCTAACCACAAAAAACCATAAATTGTGCAAAATAACCCCATCGAAAAACTGGGGCTGAACTCCGGTTTTCCAAAATGACAAGTTATTTATACTCTACGAATGGCACCTGTTGTCAAGTCTTACTTACGAATTAACATGTCTCTGACTTTCATATGTTT